CGTGGATCTTGGTCCATGCCCTGGGTCATCGATTTTACAGCATAAAACCCCTCAGTGAGTGTCGAATATTCTCCAAACTTCCGAATCACTGCCAGGCTCAATTGTTTAAAATCATTTCTAACCTTGTGTGGTAGTGACTTTACCCATGGAATAGATTCTTTATGTAAGGTCCGTTTCAACAAACTCGCTTTTTCATCCCGTCTCCTCAGCCCTCTAATCATTGCCTCCTCTTCCACTGTCGCGATATGTGTGTGGATATCCATAGTCTTATTGTGGGGGTCAAAATCGGGAATTCTGACTAGAGCCTTGTCCATCAACTTAAGGGTTTTACTGGTGAACAGGTATTCCGAAAGTTGATTGCTGACAGCGTCATCATCAAACAAGTTATCATCAGGCAATCTGTCACTTTGGTCTGTGCTGTGTCCCTGTGTTTAAGTGGTGTGCATTTTCTGTGTGCGCGCCCAGGGCCGTGTCGCTCGTGTTGCCATTTCCCTTCAGTTTTTGCCTCTGCCCTTAGTGTACCATGTCCTGGCGATTTTACTTTAACTTTTGTGCGATCAATCCCTGGACTCTGTCCACGTACCCAAGAGAGTGATTTGATGTTACTTCCATATTTATTCTGTGGCTCAACGTCTGTGAGTTTCGCTGGTGTCGCGAGCTTTGATTTCTCCTCCCTCTCGAGGGTGTGAGGACATTTCTCGTCGTTTATTAGAGACGATTTCTCTCCCGTTTCCTTTCCAAAATTTCCTCATTCCACAATCCCTGTCTGTATGCCTGTGTGAGAAGGTATGAGTCCTGTCCTGCCTTCTCTGCAGTTTTTGCATCGTGTTTGCCTTCGTTACTTTTTATCCAGTCAATTAGTTTCCCCCGAGGTGTGTTCGTGTTATCGATACAGCTCCCTTCCCATATGTCTCTCTGACTGTACTGCTTTGTAACAGATTGGTCGGTACGTTTAAATACGACCTCCCCGTATCCCGTAACCCATTCAAATATTATTCTTAATCCTAGCATCTTAAGTATGGCAAGAGTTACCTTAATATTTCTTTTCAGAGTGCATATAAACAATTGTATCACAGGATGCGTCAGTTCAACTCGAGCAAATAATCTCAGCCCAGCTGTCTTTGTTATACTCTGCTACTCTGGTATTTCCTTCAGAGCGCGTTTTGTTTGTATACCCCCGTTTACAATCACAAGGCAACGTTAGTTCACAACACTTTGATTAACACATCAGTGATTCGTTCCTGAATTCATGCATAACTGTCTGCGAGAGATCCCGGAAGACGAGCCCCCATTATGTTGTATATGTTGGGTATGAAAATTTGTTATTTGTATGCGTGCGTGGGTGAAATTATTATGTTGTATATGTGGGTTATGAATATTCAGTGGAAATAATAATAATTAAATGAAATTTGGCCAAATGTGTAATTATCCGGAAATATGTTAATTTATGTAATTACGCACATTTTAATTATGCCAATTCGAGAGGTAATCGTATTAATTATGCGAGTGGGTGTAATTATGATAACGCAAGTCGTTATGATAACCAGACCCCGGTTCACCCCGTTATCGCTTTAACATTTACTGAGTATGTATTAGTGTGTTTATTAAGGTCACCAAGTTCAAATCTCAACGCAGAAGCAGATCTTATGCATAGATTTCAGGAAAGAATCACACAACCACTTCTGTATTGATCAATTTATTACTAATTCAACCTTAACTATGATATAGTATGCGAACTCTCAATCCCGGAACGTCAACACGGCATCAATACAGTATCATCAACGATTGTCTGATTTCACTTTGACAACTGCACATGGATCCCGCATAACGCGATGGTTGTTAGTGAGAGAGAGAGTCGTTAAAACACGCAAATACTATGCTAAGAAAACCTTAACGTTAATGAATGATTATACTCAATATTGTTCACGCAGTACCACACTCCTTATTGATCATACGCAACCCTTATCACGTTGTTAACACCTTGGGTCACGGACAGTTGAATATTCTGTAGAGGATGCGAGTACGTGCGGCGATTATGACTGAAAGATACTTGAAAGATTATACGGCGATAAAAAAAAACACAATCAAAAACAGTTATTATTCTTAAAGGCACCAATCTCAACAGATACATCGGCAGGTTATCTGACAACAGAACGGCTCGGAGTAAGGGCCTGCGACGGTGCTCCTTTTCCGAAGCTCGTTATCTTATACCAAGTTTACTAATTGGGGACCAGATCACCTGATAAGGATCCGGTGGGCCACCACTCCCCACGTGAGCGTGGCTCGGCGGAAGGAGGTGCCAAGAATCAGTTCGTATTGATGGATCTGTTGGGAATTTATGCGATTAAGAGTACAGCCCACTAAATATTAAAGATAAAAATTAAGAATACTCTTATAAACGAATAACGACGGAGGGCCATCACTCGGTCTCGTTGTGATGCTTTCCAGCCACGGATGGCTTATGGGTTCGAGTGTTTTTGAGTGGTAAGAGTTGTCTTGAATAGTCAGTGTTCGGAGTCGATTCTTTAGGTCAAACAGACGCTGGTGGTCGTGTGGTGAGGGGGCGGTGCGCGTCATACGTATCAGTTGATCCCCTGTCACCGTGGCGAACTGGTTCGGATGCCCGTGATACGCTGTCGCAGTTCGGAACCCGGTCGGTAGGTGGCGCCCACAACTCGCTCGTAGCGTGCAGCTCTGGGTTGTCGCCGATCCGCGATGCTCACCACTCCGGTGGCAGCAGAGACCCCCGATTCGGCAGAGGTTGACGAGCTGAAGATGAGTCGAGCCGACCCGCTGGTCGCAGCGCGCTCCTGAGTCGACCCTCCCGGTCGAGCTCGCTCCTGGGTCGACCCGCTGGTCGCCCTCGCTCCTGAGTCGACCCTCTGGTCGCACTCCTGAGTGGACCCGCTGGTCGCACTCCTGAGTGGACCCACTCTGGTCGCACTCGTTCCTGAGTCGACCCTCCCGTCGCACTCCTGAGTGGACCCTCTCGTCGCACTGACTTCCAATGCTCAGGATCCTTTACTTTATGCCGAAAAATCCCCCTGGATCCCGCCCACAAGGCGGGGCTTCTTCCGATTTTGCTGTGTCAGGATCTGTCCGTAGGCAGGTGTGTCCATGTGTCTGTCCGTATGTCCGTGTGTCCTTGTGTGCATCACTGACGGTATATTCGTTGTCACACTCCCTCCATAAACCCACGAGCAAACATCAGATGTTACAAATTGCCTCGAGGTCGTCTCTCTGTCTGGGTGCAATATTATCTCTTGTCTGGCCTTCTTCATGAACCCAAAACACAGACGTTACAAATGTCTCATAGGCGTCTTTGTTCGTGTTGCACAACCTGGAGGGAGGGGCAACACTCTCTCCGACCCGGCGCACAAGAAATGGTTAAAAAGTTTTAAGTTAACATTTGTCCCTTACTATTTCACAGTTATGATTCTGTATGTAACCTAAGGTCTGTCGTTTCCCATCGTGGTGCTTGACTCAAGTGTAGGTGTTTCCCCGAGCGTATAACACTCCTATCCCGCGTTGCGGGGATACAAAGACGGCCGGGATCTCCCTTTCTCTCCGACCCTGGGTTTCACATCGTTTTTTTTATTATGTATTTATATTCGACCTGGTGGTGATTCATCCCGTTATCCTGGCTTTTCATAAGTTTTACTTTTGTCTTTTCATGCATATGCTTCGGGTCGAGTTGTATAGAAAGCATTAAAGTATGGAAATAACATTTCATATTGACTTAATGATGGTGATGGTTCAGTAGGCGTACTTGTGACCTGGTTTAATTGGAGTGGGTGTGAATATAAACTTTAGCCTACCCTGTTGTTAAATTCCGACTTTAACGTTACTTTAATAGCAATACAGAATAATTGAGCTTTTGTCTTAACTAGGCGAACGCGAACTTTGGTGACCCCCGCAGCCGTGTTATTTAGCTGGGTCTGCCGCCTTGAGATATACAACACTTTTTTTAAATCAGCTCTCCCCTGTCCCTCCAACCTTCTGCTCTGGGAATGTTATTCTTAATTTCAGGTCCAAGGCCTCTTTGGGTTTATCTTTGTTTCCTCAGCTGCAGGAGAACAAGGCGTGCTTCTACCCTTTCTGTGTGCACGTGTTCTAATTAGCTCGGAATCCCTAACACACAATCAGTGATGATTCCTGGCTTTCTGTGGTTGTGATTTAGACAAAGGCGCCTCTGTTTCTTCCATTGCCTTTGAGTCGACACTGCCCCTATTATTTTCCCATGTGCTGGGTCATAGAATTCGTTTTGACTTCATAATAGTTAACATTCATTATTGGATTAGCAAATGGGCAATGGTTCATTTATGTAGCTCGCAGCCTGGTCTCCAATTTGAGCGGAGCGGCGAGAATCGATAATTTAGCCTACTCTGTTGTTGAAATTTCGAATTTTGACGTTACTTTAAAACCATGCAGGATGGTTGGGCTTTTTGCCTTAAACTATGTCTGGCTGACACTCCACTGTCTCTGCCGCCTGCACGGGTGACATGTCCCGTTCATCAGGCCTTATCTTTCCTTGAAGCAAGGTTGCAAATTCTGCCATCCTAGCCCTCCTCCAGTTCATTACTTAACAACACCTGGTGTTTTTGCAGTTTGCTGCGCTTGGTGTGTTTCACTCATTAAAAAAAAACAAGTAAAAAGATAATATATAAAATCATCAAATATTATTAATCTCAATTATGGAAGAAGGGTTAGGATACAACAGTGTGCCTGCGGACCGCTGCCAATGCAGTAGCAGCAGCATCACCAGATTCCCTCTCTCTCCATCTCATTCTCTCTCCATCTCATTCTCTCTCCATCTCCGTCTCTGCCGGTCTCTCTCCATCCCTCTATCTCTCCATCTCTATGTCTCAATCTATATTTCTCTCTCTCCATCTGTCCATATCCCCTCTCTTCATCTCGATGTCTCATTCTCTAACCGGTCTCTCTCCATCCCCCCCACCCTCCACACCCCCCGCATCTCTACCTCCATCCCACCCGTGCAGAGAACTCCAACATCGCGGCGGCCAAGGGCAGCGAGGGCTGCTTCCACGGCGACGCGCGGCCTCTTGGTGGAGGGCGGCGGCTCCAAGAGGCTGCGCGACCTGCGGGCCGGCGAGCGCGTCCTGGCGGCGAGCGGGCCCACCTCGCCGCCCGCCTACAGCGACCTCCTCCTCTTCCTCGACCGCGAGCCCCGCCAGCGGCGCCGCTTCATCACCCTGGAGACGGAAGGCGGCGGCCGCCTCCTCGTCACCCCCCGTCGCACCTCGTGTTCGCCCGCGCCCGGAGACTCCGACGATGACGGCTGCGGCGATAGTGGCAGCGGTGTTCCTCCCCGGAGGAGCGCGCCGTGGCCCTCTTTGCCAGCCGCGTGCGGCCACGGCATGTTCGTCTTTGAGCTGGCGGGTGCTCTTGCTGATCCTGCTGCTACTGGTCGTGTTGGTGGTGGCGGTGGTGTTGATCTTCCTGGTGGTGCTGGTGGTAGCGTTAGTGGTGGTGCTGGCGGTAGCGTTAGTGGTGGTGCTGGTGGCGTTAGTGGTGGTTGTTGGCGGTAGCGTAGTGGTGGTGCTGGTGGCGTTAGGGGTGGTGCTGGTGGTAGCGTTAGTGGTGGTGCTGGTGGTAGCGTTAGTGGTGGTGCTGGTGGCGTTAGTGGTGGTGGTAGTGGTGTTGTTGTTGGCGATGACGGAGCACCGCGGCTGCGTGCGGTGCGCGTGGTGCGCGTGAGCTGGGTGGAGGCGCTGGGGTCGTACGCGCCGCTCACGCACCACGGCACGGCGATCGTCGACGGGCTGCTGGTGTCGTGCTACGCGGCCGTCGAGACGCACGGCCTGGCTCACGTCGCCTTCGCGCCGCTCCGCACGGCCCACGAGCTCATGCGGGGCCTCGGGATACATTCGCGCAGCAGCAGCAGCGGCGGCGACGGCAATAGCAGCGGGCAGCGGCAGCAGCAGTAGCAAGAACGCACCGGGAGCGGAGGGAGAAGGAATTCACTGGTACCCGCGACTCCTCCACAACGCTCGCCCGTCTGCTGCTCGGCGAAGACGTGTTCCACATCCTCTCGCCTGGCCGCGCGTGAGCAGCTGGGGAGCCAGGAGGAGCCAGCAGCAGCAGCAGCGGCAGGAGGAGGATGAGGATCCATTGCTCCCGGGGAGGCAAACGTTGCCAGATCCGTGGCTCGGTGGACCAGATCGGTCGACGCGGGTGGCGGGCAAGTGGGAAGGTTCGCGATGATGGGCACCGTGCCAGGGGCAGCCACGGGGGCAGTCGTCGGCCGACCTGGCGGTGCAGCCCGAAGGATGATTTGGGTTTCCCCCAATTCGCTCGTCGTGTTCGAACACGTGACGGACGCGTCTCGCGGCAGGAGAGGCTCCCTAGGGGGGGGGGGGGGGTGGGGGTCTTCGTCCAAGCTAGAAAATTGGCCAAGGGTCCTGTACGCTATAGGTGAGCTTGCCTATAATGTTAACAGTGATTGTACATCACTTGCAAAGCAAGTGTCGCCAAATATGTTGTTTGTTGTTGTTGCTGTTGTTGTTGTTACGTTGAACAATGAGGTAGCGGACGTTATGAAGGGGCCCTAAATAAAATAAAAACACGCAAATATTAAAACACTGTTTTACTTGCACAGTAAAAAAATTGTAATTTTTCATTTGCTATACAGCCAAATAATACGACAAATCGCTAATCTTAAACACGCAGTCGTTCGTAAAAGTTGAAGGCGGTATTGCCTACTATAATCGCCCAGAAATGTCTGTCCGTCCCGCGCGTGACGTCACTCCACATGAGACACACCCCACCGCGTGACGTCACTCCACATGAGGCCCACCCCACCGCGTGACGTCACTCCACATGAGGCACACCCCACCGCGTGACGTCACTCCACACGAGGCACACCCCGCTCACTAATATTCATGAGCGGGTGGATGTTTACACCAGCGCAGAGGAAGGTCGAGCTGAGTTAAATAGTTTATAACGCAGAGTCGCTTCAATATGACAGCGTTTCTTTATAGGAAGTGACGTCAAAAAATAAATCTACGCAGCACAGTGCTACATCCGTGTGTGACGTCACTGAAAAGAGCCCCCCCCCCCCCCTTCATTAATATTCATGCACCACGCGTGTAATTTACACTGACGCACTAGAAGGTCGCACACATCCACATGCCTCACCCCTCCCCAATAACCATGAGCGGGTGAGGTCACTCCACATGCCGCACCCCCTCCCTATAACCATGAGGGGGTGACGTCACTACACATGCCGCACCCCTCCCCAATAACCATGAGCGGGTGATGTCACTCCGCATGCCGCACCCCTCCCTAATAACCATGAGCGGGTGATGTCACTCCGCATGCCGCACCCTCCCAATAACCATGAGCGGGTGATGTCACTCCGCATGCCGCACCCCTCCCTAATAACCATGAGCGGGTGATGTCACTCCGCATGCCGCACCCCTCCCTAATAACCATGAGCGGGTGAGGTCACTCCGCATGCCGCACCCCTCCCTAATAACCATGAGCGGGTGAGGTCACTCCGCATGCCGCACCCCTCCCTAATAACCATGAGCGGGTGAGGTCACTCCGCATGCCGCACCCCTCCCTAATAACCATGAGCGGTTGAGGTCACTCCGCATGCCGCACCCCTCCCCAATAACAATGAGGGGTGACGTCACTCCACATGGGGCCACCCCACCCCTCCTCATTAATAATCATGAGCTGAACAATTTTTCTATTGAATATTTCAGATGTACTGTAATATACACCCGTCCTTGGACGGGCAAAAAGCTCGTAGTGCTATAGTAATAGAACAAGTGCGGAATAACTGAACCGATATTGACAGCTTGAAAGCATTTAGCGCGGGGCCCTTGAAAGTGCGGGGCCTGTAGCATTTGTAGCTACTACACGTGTAGCTACTACTACACGTGTTGTAGCTACAACACGTATAGTAGTAGCTACAACACGTGTAGTAGTAGCTACACGTGTAGCTACTACTACACGTGTTGTAGCCACCATCCGGATTGGAACTCCCACAGAAGCATTTGGTTTTTCCGTTGTAGCCTTGCGGCCGACATAGCGCCTCCAGCGGATGCAGGGCATCACGATAACCAGTTGTTTGTGTATCGTCATCGTTGTCAGCCTTGATAGTTCCCCTGCTGAATGAAGGCCTCCCCACCGTTCCACTAATCGGAGGTGCCGCAGTGGGGGGTGAAAAGGACAACACACAACACACGCACGAGGAAGACTTGCTTGCTATTTATCTGCGTTGGAAATGAGGTGAGGTTACAAAAGCCTGTCCCTAGCGTATCGTCGGCCAAATACAAAACTGGGTACCGCCTAAAGATTAGCTACGACCATATTAGGGTGTTACCAGTTGTTTTGCTCTGTCCCACTGACTTTTCTCAACAATCGAGAAGATACATTTTAACTTGCACTGGCTCACAGATCGACGCGCTCAATCTTTCTGTCTCTCTCCGTGCTGTTGTTCCAAAGCTCATCCAGTAATAATGATTAACATGTATTCGTCAAAGTGCCTCAAGGCGCCTTGTAAGAACACGGCCAAGAGAGACGGAGAAGCTATGAAGACTACATTGACTTGCCAAGATGTGGGTTTAGGACGATACTTATTGAAAGTGTCCACACCATCGAATAAACGAATCTCCAGCGGTAGGTAGGGAATCCCAACCAGCCTTGGCCCAGCCACAGCGAATGCGCTTCAGCCCGGGAACGCAGCCTGGGATCGAGGTTCGCACAGCAAGGGCGGAGTTTCGCCGATATATCGATTCGTCTTGGCCGTGTCCGTGTACCCCGATCCGTCTGTAACATCACTGGCGAGTAGAAAGACCCCCCGCCTTCACGACGGCCGACGGGAATGAACTGCGCGATAATCGATTCGAGAAATGACCAAAGACGGCTGGCAACGCCGGGCTCCAATGTATAAATAGCGAGCGAAGCGATTCGGTGCTGCTGCTGCCGCTACATTCGCAGCGGTGCACAGTCACAGATTGTCAACAACAAACGCAACAAATCACTCGACGAGTTCATCAGTAAGACCGCGCGCCCTCTGAGTGGCGGCGGCGGCAGCGGCGACTCCTCCCAACTGAGCTCAGCTTTGTCCGGCATCCCCCGTTCCGTCCTCCCGCGAAGCCAAAATTTTCATCGCCATTGGAATTTGGTCAAACCTTTCAACGTAAGTATAAGTGTTCCACCTTCAAAAAAACCAAATCGACTTAAGAGTCTTGAGACTCAGAGTGACGCTTTCACAAGAACATTTCAGACATTTCTATAGAATATATGATTAGAGACACTGTGAACTTGCGCATGGCGACACCGCTCGAGTGTGAGAGTCGGCCCACGTTCCCGCAAGTGCAGCGAGTGGATTGTCAGGCCCGTCACCAGTGACAACACAACAACAACAACAGCAGCAAGCGCGTCACATTGGGTTCCGCACTTGATCCGGTTGGCCTTGCGACGAACATGAACCCCACCGATTGCCGAGCTGGTGGGGGAAATGCTGGCCTCTTACTGCGGCGGACCAGAGCTCCCTTATTAAATCCTTTATATTAAGTTCACTTGCTTGCTTGCGCGCTTACGACCGTGCAAATCTTTCGGTCGTTTTTAACCCACTTCCCGTGATCCAATCGAGCTGACATTTTGCACACAGACTCGTTGTGCGTGACAATTTATGTTCGTGACATTTTTTCCCCAAAATTTTACACTTTTTAGGACAAAATTTTTATATTTAATTACCAATTGCTTAATGGTGCCATGCAATCATCTGACCCATAGGTGGCAGCCATCTCAAGCCAGAGGACGAGAGGACTCTAGCCGCCACGCATATAAAGGATTTATAGTGAAAAACTTTGTTTTTACGGGTTATATTTGTATTATGTTTTGTTTGTTAAAGGGGATCTCGGAAGCAGCTCTGTGGTATCCTCTTCCGCGGGCCGTTGCCTTGACACTAAGGGGTCGTCGCGTCGCGCTGCTGCACTGTGGGAGATCCGAACGGAGTTTCTGTCACGTGACGCCCAGAGCACGATGGGATGCAGGGGGCGGAAGAGGGGTTGAAGGCAATCGGCAGATATGAAATATAATGAAGTAAATGTAATAAAATATAATGAAGTAAATGTAATAAAATATAATGAAGTAAATGTAATGAAATATAATGAAGTAAATGTAATAAAATATAATGAAGTAAATGTAATGAAATATAATGAAGTAAATGTAATGAAATATAATGAAGTAAATGTAATGAAATATAATGAAGTAAATGTAATAAAATATAATGAAGTAAATGTAATGAAATATAATGAAGTAAATGTAATAAAATATAATGAAGTAAATGTAATGAAATATAATGAAGTAAATGTAATAAAATATAATGAAGTAAATGTAATGAAATATAATGACACATAGTAGAACGTAGAATTATTTTTGTAAACGGTTGGAGGAAATGAAATATATTTCGAAACGTGCCGTGGTGTTCACGAGGACGCTCCTGAAACAGACCGTTGAGACTCGGCGAGGCTCTCCTGGGGAAGCCAAAAGAAATCGTCGTTATCATCGTAATAATATTAATTGTTATTCAGACGCAGGATGTCTGTACGAGTTCTATAGTCGCGTGTCGTAAAGCGGCTCTCCCGCTAGGCCGAGTGGAACCCGCAACCTTGACGCCGTCCCCCATCTACGGCGAATGTGCACGGCACGTGCCTCCTCCATGCAGTCACTGCCGTGGCATCGTCACGCAGAGGCGCGCTGCAAGGAATTCCCTGTGGGGCCGTCCATAAATGACGTCACGCACCTAGGGGAGGGGGGGGGTCAGATTTTTGTGACGATGTGTGACGAGGTGGGGGGGTTGAGAAATGTGACGTCACGTAAAAATGCGCAACTTTAAATAAATATAGAATTGTTATAACAACGCTAATTGTTATACCAACACTCCGACAACATCAGAGTGCAGCGCCACATTAAATACGCACTTCAATGACAATAGTTTAAATCGATTTGAAGCGTGTTTTATTTTCAAAATTGAAATATGTTTTGTGACATCATATTTGAGGGGGGGGGGGGTTCTGACTTTTTGTGACGCCGTGTGACGAGAGGGGGGGTCAAAAATCGCCCAAAATCGCGTGACGTCATTTATGGACGGCCCCTGTGCACGCTCTGACCCCCGGTGGGCGTTCGCCCAACATCTCCTCCTCCTCCGCTCGAGCCGCGGACGAAGTCGTCGGACGCTGCGATTGGTGAACGCTTCCGCAACTGCCGATTTAGAAACGAACAACAACAACAAACTCCTCGGCACATTCGACAATAACACTGTGGCCCTGAAAGGCAAATTATTGTTTTACGTAGATAGACGTTTCGGCCAATGACCCTTGTGCATAGGCCAAGTGGAGAGGTTAGAGGATACGACGAGTTAGAGACGACACCTGATTACACCCTGGGGTATGACAAGAATTACATGAGAATGCTTTACGATTAATTGGCACACGAATGTATGTGTATTACTGCGGGCATGCTTGGTGGTTCGCGTCAGATATTACAGCAATCCCCATCGTTGTGCTGCACTTCTATGCTCCCCTACGTCTACGCTCTCCGCACTGACCGGCGCGGTGAAGTATGGTCAGACGAACCCAACTCGACTCGAACGGGCTTGGCGAGACCCTCATCCAGCAGCGGATTGACCAAAGGAGCTGCACATTTGGTACATTGCTGGACACGCGCGCGCGCGGCGTCTCGGTCTTGACCCGACTCGGCGTGGACGTGTTTGCCGATCACGAGGTGCGTGCGGCGCGTTCACGGGATGAGCTTGCGGCCGAACGGAAGAGATTGAGGCAATGCGCTTTAGTCGCGAGCGCTGAAGGTTCGGGGACACGCTTCTCTTACATCAGGGGTCTCAAACTCGCGGCCCGCGGGCCAATTGCGGCCCTCGGGACGATATTTTGTGGCCCCCACCTTAATATGAAAGTTTAATGTTAGTGTGGCCCGCGAGTTTTATATTGTAGCAACCCCGCTGTTAGCTGCTGTGTGGGACAATGTTATGATGTTCTGGTTTCCTACTGTGCCTGTCCAGTGAATGCGGCATGCATGTGAGTGACATGGGGGGCGGGGTCGTGGGTGTGTGTGTGTTTGTGTACGTGTGAGAGTGAGTGAGAGAGAGAGCCGGGAGAGAAAAGAGTGGCTTTGGATGCGCGGAGAGCAGGAGGGTGAAATTCATAGTTTTCCGCCCTCTTTCGCGCAGGTCATGATGTATCCAGTGCTTTATTTGTAAATCACAAGGTGCCGGAACACTAAGTACATATGACAGCGCACAGGTCCCGGAACGCACATAAAACGACGCTTAAAACAGCACACACATGCCACTTACAATGCAGTGGGACTTATTTAGGCTATACTGCAGTGACGGTATCAGTCTTTGTGTCAATAAAGTGGCATCTTGAGCAAAGGCGACTTCTGTGTCCAGCGGAGAAAACGAACGGAACACACACACACACCATTTGTTAAATTGAAGGCAAATTCAAGGGACACCACGGCTCCTTTACGCACACGCTGCACTGTGAGGTTTTGGGAGCTTCTTTACGCAGATGGATTATTCTAAACCGCAGCAGTTTATAACACGCCATTGAGCTAATATCTACATTTTACAGTCTGGGCTGTTTTACATTATTATTTACACCTGATATGTGTGGATGAATTTTAATGATTTAAATTCCCTCATCCTCTGGTGGTGACATTTACGCACCGAGCCACAGACTGTACATGACGATGTGCATAATTATTTTGGTTCATCTTAGAAGTCTGCAGATTATCTTGTTATTGCGTGGCCACAAATTAGTAATTCATCCACCGATGTCAACTGGGGCTCCGTAATTTTCTAGTGATTACATTATATTGTTATATTTTATTTTAATCATTTCTTAAAAAACTTTTTTAATATTCATTTTTTTCTCGATACGAGAGGTACCGGATCTGCTCAAATAAGTCCCGGAACGCAGGCAAGCCAACACGCCGGCACAAAGTAAGCACAAAAATGTATAGAAAAATGTGATGATGTGACTGAAGGCAGTGAAAGCCCCGACAGTGGCCAGCAGCATTTGAACCCCGTGGTCACACAATGACGCTGCCTCATAGAGTCCTCTGCTCTCCCTCTTTCGGCTCTCCACTGTGCGCGCATCGGAGCGCGTCAAAGCGCAGATCCACAGCTCACACGGCTCAGATCCCCGTGCTTAGAACAGAGAAGCGTGTATAGTAGCAGCCGCTACAGCTATGTCTGCCTGTGACTGGGGTGTGGGGACGAAATCTGATGGGAACGCATTACCCCCCCGCCCCCATAATCTACGCACCTGTTGTTACCGTAAAAAGCGGAAATGACGTGCATTTGCGGAAATTACGTCTCCGTGCGTCGCTGGTTGGCTAAACACTTGACTGAAACTTTATTGCGTGAGCGACAGCAAGTGGAATGAATATAGATCTTGTCACACAGCCCCAATCATGTCTTTTTCAAAGCCTGCAGTGAAGAGAAAGGTTGGTGACGAGCACAGACAATTTCAGGAAAAGTGGGAGATGCAATATTTATTTGTTGAGCACATGAGCAACCCGACGTGTCTTATTTGTACAGAAAAAGTTGCGGTGCACAAGGAATACAACCTCAAACGTCATTACTCAACTAGACATGCTGAGGAGTATGCAAAATACCAGGGAGATGAGAGAGCCAACTGGGTTGCCAATCTTAAAACATGTCTACTGAGGCAACAAAATGTATTCAAGAAAGCAACCAAAGAGAATAATGCAGCAGTCGAAGTAAGCTACGTGGTTAGTGAGATGATTGCTAAGGCAGGAAAGCCATTCACAGAAGGCGAGTTTATCAAAAAGTGCATCTTACAGGCTGCAAGTATAGTCTGTCCAGAAAAGAAAGGTCAGTTTAGCAACATCAGCCTTTCTGCTAACACGTGGCAGAGCGCATTTCAGACCTGTCAAGTGACATTTATGATCAACTGCGTGAGAAAGCCAAATTTTTCAATGCATACTCAGTCGCTCTTGACGAGAGTTCAGACATCACTGACACTGCCCAGCTCACAATATATGTCCGTGGTGTTGATGACAATTTTGAAGTGATGGAGGAGTTGCTCACAGTAATTCCAATGCATGGCCACACCACCGCTCGGGAGATATTTTGCCAGCTGTGTGATGCCATTGTGAATGCCGGTTTGCCATGGAAGAAGTTTGTTGGAATAACAACCGACGGAGCGCCATCAATGACAGGGAGGAAAAATGGACTGGTGGCACTTGTTCAAAGAAAACTAGAAGAGGAGGGTGTGGAGGAGGCCATGGCTCTGCACTGCATCATCCATCAGCAGGCCCTTTGCAGCAAATGCCTAAAGTTTGACAATGTGATGTCTGTTGTTGTGAAATGCATCAACCAAATAAGATCCAGGGGCTTAAAGCACCGGATGTTCCGTACTTTTTTTAGAGGAAATGGAGTCAGAATATGAGGATGTGCTCTACTTCACCGAGGTACGTTGGCTCAGCAGGGGAAACGTCTTGAAGAGATTTTTTGAGTTGAGAGCAGAAGTGAAAGCCTTCATGGAGAAGGATGGGGTGGCTGTTCCTGTGCTAAGTGATCCCAAATGGTTCATGGACTTCGCTTTTCTTGTTGACATCACGCATGAGCTGAATGTACTGAACAAGAAGTTACAAGGCCAGGGGCAGCTCGTCAGTGCTGCCTATGACAACGTGAGAGCATTCTCCACAAAACTTGTGTTATGGAAAGCCCAGCTCTCTCAGACAAACCTTTGCCATTTCCCAGCATGCAAGGCATGCTGGGAAATGGCAATGTGCACTAATCAGTGCACATTATCAGAGTTATGTTCTTTTGTTTGTATTATGACTGCAGGCATTGCGGTCTATGCAAACATGACTCCTTGCAAAAAGGTGTCAGTTTTGTTGCCAGATAGAAGGGTAAAGAACCAATTATCATATTTTTACTGGCAAATGAGGTCCCCATAGTGTAGATGCTTGCCCCGAGCTCTCATACTCTGATGGTGCATTGTCCTTGAGTTGTGCGCCTTTTGGCGTCATCTGGTCCAACCCATATGAGACTAGGCTCGAAGGAAAGCTGTCTCGGGTGTGGACCAATCAACTTCAAGGACAGTGCACATTATCAGAGTTATGTTCTTTTGTTTGTATTATGACTGCAGGCATTGCGGTCTATGCAAACATGACTCCTTGCAAAAAGGTGTCAGTTTTGTTGCCAGATAGAAGGGTAAAGAACCAATTATCGAAGATGATGATGTCACGCACTTTTTTCTCTTACTCCAAAATATCATTGTTGCTCTTCAACAATCTTTCACGTGGTGAGCCGCTTCGTAGAGCTGCTCGCGCTTGTGGCCGGGACGCTTCTGTGAGAGAAGCTGATGGTTTAGTGGGCCTTGCCTGGTAAGATAAACATCAACTTCAAGGAAGGTGCATACATTATCAGAGTTGTGTTTTTTGTTTGCATTCCGACTGCAGGTATTGTGGTCAATGCAAACATGGCTCCTCGTAAAAAAAGGTGTCAGTTTTGTTGCCAGATAAAAGGGTAAAAAATACAATTAACAAGAAAAAAATGGTTTAGGTTTTTTTTGTTTATTTAAAAAAAAAACTTTTTACCTTCCCTACACTTTGCGCTCCTATTGTGTTTTTGTATTGTTTGTTGTTGTGAAATGTGAACGACCTCACCTGGCATACAGGAGGTCTCCCCGTGGTCGCGTGGCTTTTTTTCCAGGTTCTCCGATTTTCCCCTCCACATTTACAAACACGCTCTCAGAGTGTTTGGCTACTATACATGTCCACATGATAGGCTACTTGGTTGAGCTGTCATTTGTGGCCAGTACACTTCTGAACAAGAGCTATACAGCTCAGTGGGCCTCACCTGGTAAAATAAAAATAAAAAGTTAATAGTACTGGACATCTGTGAAAAACAGCTTCATATCTCATCGGATTCCTCCAGTATCAATACATCTTCTCATTCTCTATAAATGGGCGCACCGTTTCATTGCTCGCCTGCTTGTGTGTGCTGCGGTCAAGTTGCGGGTGTATTCCCACCATCCTCCAAGACGCCGTGTACAGCGGTCACCCTCTGTAGAACTCCCACCAGAGCTCCTTCTGCCTGCAGTGACATGACTTCTTCTCTTTCCCACGTGTCTCGCTGCATTTCTTCTGGCGGTTGCTCTCATTCCCAGTCCACGTGTAGCGGCATCAATGCCAATCACCTGATTGGTCACCCCACCCGTTCAAGCCAACTGTTTTGACCAATCTGCAATGAGCCCACTGATGAACGTAGATCTCAGACACGACGCAGGGTTGAGTCGGTGGGAGACTGCCGGGGACTGCCAGGCTTGGCTACGAGGTGGTCAGGAGATGGCAGTGTAGCCATGGATTCTTGACTCTATCAGTGTGGAGCTTTTGAGTGCTCCCCCCCCCCCCCCTCTTATGTAAATGCTGTTTAATGTTTACAATAATATTGTGTTCGTGTCAGATGTTTTGAGCCCTCGTTTTCACGTTCACATTCTTGTTTTTGTGGCATTGAGACTTCATCGGCCACAATCATTCCACTTCCGGACGAAGACCTCCCCGCGCAATCGCCATCTCTCACGATCCACCGCAGGAGCCGTACACCTCGTCACGAGAGACGAACACCAAGCCACGCTCACTTGAGCAGGAGGACCACTTTAGACTCTTGACGATGCCCAATTGTCTTCGATGTGTTCATTTGTTACAGGCGATTGAGATCTCAAGAAAAAACACGTTGACAGCAAAGATCAAACAAGGGAAGATGGTCTCTGCATCACCTTCCATCAAGCTTCCTGCAAAACGGCGACACTCACCCTTTGACTGGTTTGAGGGTCCAGATGTCGACACCACTTCTGAATCTGAGGATTAAAAGAGAATCGGAGTTTGTTTTGAGGGACGTTGTTTTACGTTCCATTGTTCTTGGCGAAATGGTAGCCAGGGTGGAGACTTTTAGCCACCGCAGTTCAAATGTTTTGGGTGTTCAGTTTTAAGTCGCTGATTTTCATCAATTTTCAGAGAGGAGGTGGGGGGGTGGACACTTTCGCCGTTAACACTGGTCAACAACAACAACACAACATGTTTTTCTGGCCTGGACTTTTGCAGCTGTTCTAGACTAATTTCAGGGTGCCGATTCCAAATCTGATCTCAGATTTGCTCAATCACATCTCATTTTTAAATCCTTTATATTAAGTTCGCTTGCTTGCTTAGGACCGTGCAAATCTTTCGGTCGTTTTTTAACCCACTTCCCGTGATCCAATCGAGCTGACATTTTGTACACAGACTCGTTGTGCGTGACAATGCATTTTCCTGAAAAAAACATTTCCTAAATTTTACACTGTTTAGGGAAATTTTTAAATATTTAATTACCAATTGTTTAATGGTGGCAGACAATCATCTGACCCATAGGTGGCAGCCATCTCAAGCCAGAGGACGAGAGGACTCTAGCCGCCCCGATGCCACGCATATAAAGGATTTATAGTGAAAAACTTTGTTTTTACGGGTTAATTTTTTATGCTATCGGCATACCCCATTTTCATTGATTTTACCCGAAATTAACTCTGTCACTTATGATAGCAAGTTGTTGCGAGTCAGTGACTGCTTTAGTGTTAAAATACGGTGCTGTATTTTTAGGATAGTGTGTTTATAATATCATTTTATGTAGATATCCACATTAATTTAATATTTTTCTTCTGCAGTTTTTATTGAAAATGCAATCTTTGATAGCTCAAAAACATTTTGATTGCATTTTGATTGTAAAGTGAACGTTCGTTGTTTCTGTTCGTTGCGTGTTCGCTCAAAATTAAAGCGCTTAAAATGGCAAGCAATTCCGTGCTTTTTTTGTATTCAACGTAAGGAAATACACTCGGAAAAGTTGTGAGTTTGCGAAACCCGTCGCGGGTACCAACTCAGCCCCTTCACCCATTGTGAACATCATCGCCACTGTCGGAGGTCAATCGTGGTTCCGTCCTAATAGCTTCAATAAGTAAACCCGTAAAAACAACGTTTTTCACTATAAATCCTTTATATGCGTGGCGGCTAGAGTCCTCTCGTCCTCTGGCTTGAGATGGCTGCCACCTATGGGTCAGATGATTGTCTGCAGTATTAAACAATTGGTAATTAAATATTTAATTTGTTTTCCCTAAAAGGTGTAACATTTTGGAATTTTTTTTCACGAACATTAATTGTCACGCACAACGAGTCTGTGTGCAAAATGTCAGCTCGATTGGATCACGGGAAGTGGGTTAAAAAACGACCGAAAGGTTTGCACGGTCGTAAGCGCGCAAGCAAGCGAACTTAATATAAAGGATTTAAAAAGCCGAAGAGTCTTCGCCAACATTGTCAACGCGCGCCCGGAATCTTCTACAGGTGCAGGTCTCCAGAGGCCGGAGGCAGCACGTTCTCCTGTGCTGTTGTTGCAAAGTCTCAGAAGTGTTCACTTGTTTCTGAAGCACTCCCCCCCCCTGTATTCACAACAGCATAAGAGAGACGGGGGAGGATGACTGTGCGTGTACATGCACGCTATTGAGTGGCAAACTTTCACGCGACTGGCAAAAAACCAGGACTTGCCAAGTCACGTTTCTGCGAAGACTTGGAGATATCCCACGGGAGCCGACCTCCATAAGAAGATGATCTTGGGGGGGGGGGGGGGGGGAACCAGTACGGGTGGCAAACTCGCGTCGTAAAGAATTACAAATGATAACTGTGGCAATCTACTGATATCAATTTAATGAAATGAAATGCATCAATGCAGGGATATTACATCAAAGCAAGGACAGGTGGCAACCTCGCGTCTTAAAACAAAAATACTGTAAAAATCACACTCGTTTTGAAAATATAGTGGCGTCACTTAAATTAAATTCGATATGACGTCAGCGCGGGGGAGTCGTGACATCGGTTCACGGTGACCTTGGCGTCTTTGTTCGTTTTGCTCACTAGACGGGATTCGAAGCCGTGTCCTTCACGTGTCAAGGGTGACCCACCCTTCCTGTCCTGTCCCCTCGGCAATGCCGCCTCCACAGGGACAACCAACCCCTCTATCCCTAATGAACATCTGTTGCATCACCCAATTCCCTGACCCCCACCCCTGCCCCCAGATTGTGCCCGATGTAGTACAGGGACTACCTCTACTTACAAACATTCGACTTGGGAACTTTCAGAGATACGTACAAACCTGTCCGTATGTCCCGTTACCGCAGTTCAACGATGCGATTGCCCATCACAAGTTGATTTGTGCAGAGATGAAGAGAACAACTGTGCAGACATCTCTTAGTAGGTATTTCAAGAGAATAGAGAGGAAACACGTGCCAAAGGGAATTAGCATCTACATCTGCAGAACGTGAAGAATCAGTGGCATCTACATCTACAAAACGTGAAGAACCAGTGGCATCTACATCTGCAGAACGTGAAGAACCAGTGGCATCTACATCTGCAGAACGTGAAGAACCAGTGGCATCTACATCTGCAGAACGTGAAGAACCAGTGGCTTCTACATCTGCAGAACGTGAAGAACCAGTGGCATCTACATCTGCAGAACGTGAAGAACCAGTGGCTTCTACATCTGCAGAACGTGAAGAACCAGTGGCATCTACATCTGCAGAACGTGAAGAACCAGTGGCATCTACATCTGCAGAACGTGAAGAACCAGTGGCTTCTACATCTGCAGAACGTGAAGAACCAGTGGCATCTACATCTGCAGAACGTGAAGAACCAGTGGCATCTACATCTGCAGAACGTGAAGAACCAGTGGCATTTACATCTGCAGAACGTGAAGAACCAGTTGCATCTACATCTGTAGAACGTGAAGAACCAGTGGCATTTACATCTACAGAATGTGAAGAACCAGTGGCATCTACAGCTCTCTCCCTCCCTGCCCTTTTGTCTCTCCCCCTTTCTGCCCCCCCGTCTCTCTCCCTCCCTGCCCCCCTCTCCCTCCCTGCCCCCCTCTCTCTCCCCCTCTCTGCCCCCCTCTCTGCCCCCCCGTCTCTCCCCCTCTCTGTCCCCCCGTCTCTCTCCCTCCCTGCCCCCCTCTCCCTCTCTGCCCCCCCATCTCTCCCCCTCTCTGCCCCCCCATCTCTCCCCCTCTCTGCCCCCCCGTCTCTCTCCCTCCCTGTCCCCCTCTCTCTCCCCCTCTCTGCCCCCCCGTCTCTCTCCCTCCCTGTCCCCCTCTCTCTCCCCCTCTCTGCCCCCCCGTCTCTCTCCCTCCCTGCCCCCCTCTCCCTCTCTGCCCCCCCATCTCTCCCCCTCTCTGTCCCCCCATCTCCCTCCCTCCCTGGGCCCCCGTCTCTCTCCCTCCCTGCCTCCCCGTCTCTCTCCCTCCTTCCCAACTGAATCCCCCTAACCTCTCGCTTATAAATCGACGAAGGCTCGGCGCCCTCTGATGTCTCTCTCTCTCTTCCTGTCTTCCCCTCGCCTCCCCTTCTCTTTGCCGATCTCTCGCGACGTCTCTGCCCCTCCCCTCATCTCGCCCCGTCTCTCTCGCTCCGTCCGAACCGGACCCCCCTAGCCTCTGCCTCAAGAACCGTTGAATGAAATTCCTCTGATGGCTGTCTCTCTCTCTCTCTTGCCGCGCTCCCCACGCCGCCTCGTCTCTGCGTCTCTCGCTCGCCGCGTCTCTGGCCCTCGACTGTTGCTGCGCCGTCTCTCTCTCCCCTCTTCCCCTCCCGCTCCCCGACTCCGCCCCGGTTCCGTGCCCCTCAGGCCGAGCTCCTGCCCCTCGCTGACCTTCATCTGCCCCCCCCCCCCTTCGCTCCCCTCCCTCACGAGACCTCCCACGCACAATTCCTTGGTCCCATCCCTCTCTCGCCTCGCTCCCGCACTTCTTCATGGAAGCTCTTCGTGGGACGCGTCTTCTCCGGGCGCCGTTCGGCCTCCTGCACGCACCTCCTGCACGCACCTCCTGCACGCACCTTGTGCACCGCCACTGCCAAAGACAAAGATCCCCCGTATAGCCTCTAACAGACTGTCGGGGGCAAGTGCTGTTAGCGAGTAGCAGCACTTATCAAGGCCGGCACTGTGGCACACGGGGGGGGTGGGTCACCACGATGCTTGTGCACACACCACACACACACAGTCACACAAACACAGTCACACAACACACACAGTCACACACAGTCACACACACAGTCACACCACACACACCCCACACACAGTCACACACCACACACAGTCACACAAACACAGTCACACACCACACACAGTCACACACCACACACAGTCACACACCACACACAGTCACACACCACACACAGTCACACACCACACACAGTCACACACCACACACAGTCACACATCACACACACACAAAGATCCCCCGTATAGCCTGAACAGACTGTAGGGGCAAGTGCTGTTAGCGAGCACCTATGAAGGCCGGAACGGTACACGAGGGGGTGGGTGGCCAGCACCACGCCCGACCGCCTTTGTCTCCCTAGTGGCGATGTTTACACACCGCACCAGGTACTCATTTAAGGCTGAGTCGACCTAGGGGAGGCCCAGGACCGGTTCAGATAATCGTCACTGGTGTTAGCCGTGAGCGGGAATCGAACCCGGGTCGCCAGGTTCATAGCGCAGCGCGCTAACCGCTACACTACCGCTCCCCACACACAGTCACACAAACACAGTCACACACACCACACACAGTCACACACCACACACACCCCACAAACAGTAACACACCACACACAGTCACACACAGTCACACACACCACACACAGTCACACACCCCACACACACACCACACAGTCACACACACCACACACAGTCACACACCACACACACCACATACAGTCACACACCACACACACCACAGACACACCACACACAGTCACACACCACACACACCACATACAGTCACACACCACACACACCACACACAGTCACACACAGTCACACACACCACACACACCACACCTTGGAATGAATTGTGCACGTGTACTGCAGCTGCTGATGATGCTGCTACTGCAGCTGCTGCTGGAGAGACGTCGCTGCACCTTCGAAAGAGGCTGCTGCAACTTGCTGAATCCGCCCCCTGATGAGCTGCACTACTGCAAGTTCAAGTTCAAGTATTAGGTATAGAGCCCTGTGAGCCATTCGGCTCTTGAATCGGGTGCAACCGCAACAAACAAAAACATCTTAAAGTGAATATGTGACTGAGTGCAAACAGAAAATCCAAGAAAAGACAGCAAAATATTGCAGGAAAAAAATCACAGTTACACCAACTCTGTGTGCAAAAATCCCAGCAGACAACAAATCGATTAACGAATGAAATCGGCTAACCCTCGATATATTATTGGTTCTTTCTGTTATAAAGTCACGTAAATAGAAAAAAATTATAATAAAATATTGAAAAAATGGCGGGTTTTGCTTTTATTATTTTCCATTTTTTTTCTTATTTTTTATTTTCCATCGACGCGATTTTACCAAAAGAACCAAGAATATGAATTCCTGCAGTCACTAAAGTTTTAAGTCAAAATTGATCCGCTAACCCGTCAAGGCAAGTGACCTGTTAATCAATTGCTGTTATAACCGTACCGGCTTCAAGTAGCAGCAGCAGCAGCAGAGAGACACGTGGCTCCACTGCAGCTCCCACGTGACAGCGTCTGGCCACGCCCAGCGCGGGTCACGTGTCAGGAAGGGGCGGAGCTTAAGCACCACGTGGGCAGAGCCCCCAGGTGTCATTGGCTGTCTGCGTGGTGTCGTCTGTGGGTCTCTGTGTGGTGAGTCAAGTTCATGTATTAGGTAGAGCCCTGTGAGCCATGCGGTTCTTGAATCGGGTGCAAACTGAAAAAACAAAAAAACATCTTAAAGTGACTATGTGCAAACTGAAAACACAAACAAAAAACTAAAACATGAACAAAAAACATCTTAAAGTGACTATGTGCAAACTGAAAAAACAAACAAAAAACAAAAACATGAACAAAAAACATCTTGTAGTGAATATGTGACTGAGTGCAAACAGAAAATCCGAGAAAAGACAGCAAAACATTGCAGAAAAAAGTCACCGTGTACACCAACACTGTGTGCAAGAATCCCTGTGGGATGCAAGTCAAACAACCAACAACAACAACCACAAGACAACTTAGATAGTCGATGGGTCTCTATCAGTAATTCTACATTTGAAGCTTTCGTGACTGCCAGGAGTAGGTTTTTTCGGTAAAGTCACGTAGGTAAAAATACAAAATATAAATAATATAAATAAAATAATAAATCACGACGTTTCAGAGGCAACACAAGCTTCCTTCATCAGGTGTAAAAAGGCACACAAAAAAACTGTACGTCGTGATTTATTATTTATTTCTATTATTATTTACATTATTTTATTATTATTTATCTCTACTGTAGTCTACGGGTCTCTGTGACCCCCCCCCCGTGCGGATCGTGAATCGAGGTCAGAATCGACCGACGGCTTGCAATCGAAGTCGATTCTAACGTAATCGCATGGAGGAATCGATCCACGGATCGATCCGACGACATCACCGTTAACCAAATCGCAATGGAGGTAGAAGCCAACAGCTTCCATCGAGTCGCGAAGTCGTCACCTCCTCTACCTCCTCCTCTACCTCCCCCTCTACCTCCTCCACCTCCTCTACCTCCTCAATTGCCTCGCGACATCAACAACCCTCCCACAGCAGCAGCGGCAGCGGAATCAGCAACAACGAAGTCAACACCCGCCACTGAGGCCTACACCGCCATGCAGCCTGCGGTCTCTGCCCAAGCCGCGTCGCATTCTGCGGGGGAGATTCAGGCGAGGGGCGGTGGCTGCGGCGAGGAGGAGGAGGAGGAGGATGAAGCGATGCAGTTGCTGACCATCGTAACCGGCGATCTCATCTCCGGCTACGTGGCTCACCTGACGCAGCAGACGGAGCAGCAGCAGCAGCCTGTGCAGCAGCAGCAGCAGGGGCTGCAGCAGGGGCTGCAGCAGCAGCTGCAGCAGCAGCTTCAGCAGTTGCAGGAGCAGCTCCCGGCGGTGCAGCAACATCTCCTGCTGTCGCAGCAGCAGCAGCAGCAGTGGATGGAGAAGCTCTGGCAGCAGCAATTCCAGCACATGCAGCAGGTGCAGGAGCAGCTCCAGCAGGTGCAGCGGCAACAGGAGCTTGTGCAGCAGCTGCAGCAGCAGGAGCAGCTCCTGGATGTGCAGCAGCAGCAGCAGCTGCTGCAGGAGCTGCAGAAGAAGTATCAGCTCCAGGAGGTGCAGCTGATGCGTCGGTTCAAGCAGCTGCACCAAATGCAGCAGGAGCATTTCCAGCAGTTGCAGCAGTTCAAGGAGTGGCAGGAGCTGCAGCGGCAGGCGCGGAAAATCCAGCGGCAGCTCCGGGAGGTGCGCTCGCTGCTCCAGACCTCCCGGCGGCTCGTGCGGCTGCGTGTGGAGCTTCTGCAGGAGGCGCTCGACACCCGAGGAGACGCGTTGCTGGCGGAGTTCGAAGCCTCCATCCCAGACTTTGTGAGGCGCGCGGAGGAGCTGGCGAAGCAAGTGGACCCGCGCCGGCTGGTCGTGACCCTGGCCTGGCAGGTTCTCACCGCGGGGCCCATGAGCTGGGGCTGCGTGCTGTCCATGGTGGTGTTTTGCGCGCTGCTCGTCAAGAACCTGAGGGCCTCCGGTCGTCTGGGCGACTCGGAGGAGACTTGGCCCTTGACGGACGCGGTGGCCGCTGTGCTGTTGACCACACGCAAGACCTGGCTCATGGAACAGGGAGGCTGGGTGAGGGGTTACACACCGCTACCATCAACACCACTGCGCCGGAACAGCATGTTGGTAATTGAAAGCCCATGGGCTGCACAAAATCGAGCAGCCTCCTACCGTTGTTATTGAGTTGATCTCACCCATGTCCTCCAATCACTCCAGACCAGGTGCTAGCATCATGACCAACTCTGGCATTGAAGTCACCCAACAAGATGACTCTATCCCGAGGGGCCACTTTAGCCAGCACCTGTGACATGAGGTCATAGAAGGCATCTGACTCATCGGCCTTGCCTGCATCCCTCCACGGATGTTCGTCTTCGGTGGGGGCATAAGTAACCACGACCACCACTCCTCGCCTCTGGTTGATGGAAAGGCGAGCCCAAAGTTGTCTGGGGCTTACAGATTCCCACACCTCACCGCCACGCTCCCATGCCCCCTTCATTCTTTTATTCAGAAGAAGAGCCACTACCTGTTGTTTGGCAGTCTCCTGCCCCCAGTAGAGGACTGTCCACCCCTCATGATGTCAGGAGCCAGAGCCGGTCCACCGGACCTGAATGCCACAGAGATCCAGGCAGTACCTGTCCAGCTCCCGACAGAGGAGTGGCAGCCTCTCCTCAGCAGTGAGCGTTCGAACATTCCACACGTTCAACCAAAGTGTCTCACTACCCAGTGTCTCACAAGCATTGTCTCACTACCCAGTGTCTCACTACTCAGTATCTCACTACCCAGTGTCTCACTACCAGTGTCTCACTACTCAGTATCTCACTACCCAGTGACTCACTAGCGGTGTCTCACTACCCAGTGTCTCTGTACCAGTGTCTCGCTACCCAGTGTCTCTCTACCCAGTGTCTCTGTACCAGTGACTCACCACCAGTATCAGATCATAGAACAACGCCAAAAGGTGATGATGATGACGATGATGGTGGTGGTGGGGCTCTCTTTCCGTTCTGTTTCTGTGCTGCCACACAGGAGGGCTTCCTGCGAGCGTTCGGGCCGGGGACGCCCACCTAGGAGAGGAGCCGCAGACGCCGAGCTCCGATGGGCGGCGATTGTGGAGACAAGAAGAGAGAGACAGAGAGAGACAGAGAGAGAGACAGAGAGAGAGACAGAGCGAGACGGAGAGACAGAGACTTTTGACTTTTTACACAACTTTTATTGCCGCCAGGAGCAACAGCACTGGAGGCGATTCCGATATGAAATACAGTCACCAGCAAACAAACGAATAAACGCTGTAAATCCACACGCCGTGGCGCTAAATGCAGCGCAACACGAAAGAAAAGTCACGTGGTGGTTGTTGTTGTGGTGGTGGTTGTGGTGGTGGTGGTCATCTCGCACGCCACGGTGACGAGAGAGCGCCTCAGAAGAGAGAGAACGGCCATCACCAAGCCATGTCAATTTTTTACTTTTCTCTTTACAAAAATGAGGCTTCCATTAACGTGTGGTCCGACCTCTGTCAGGCGTTGAACAGTGAAATAGTACAAGTCGTTCGAAAGTGCATCGTAATATCTGCATCGTTAATATTTTTAAACTTGAGGGAATTAATTTTTTGGCAGTGGCAATGAGAGATGCAAACATTGAAATGGCTCAGGGTTTGAATCAGATGAAAATTCAGAGGAGTTAAAACGTGCTAACTACCAACCTAAATGTTCAAACAATTGTCGGGGGATACGTGTTGATTGTGTGCGTTTACACAATTTGACTTGAAGTCTTGAAAACTGGTTACACAGAAACAAAACTTACAGCCAAGAAATTGTGACGTGTTGTTTTAAATTGCCTGAATTTCTGTAAAACACTGTTTAAGTGACAATGTCAGACTGTTGTTGTCTTTGATCGTTCATAATGAATTTTGTGTGTTCAGCGTTACCGACGTAAGTCGTGATTTTTAAACGTAATCTTAACTTTTAATGGAACATAAATCTTAAGTAATAGAGCTCTGTGAAAATATATAGCTGGATACTCGCAGTCACCTCAAAAAAAGTAAGTTTCATGTTCCGACAAAAGGATTATTTTGAAAGTGTTCGTTTTTTTCGGTAAAGTCACGTAGGCAGAAAATAAAATAAAAGATAAAAAAATATATATTAAAAGATAATTGTTTTATTTATATTATCCATTAGTATTTCTACATCACGTAGGGAAAAATAAGAATAAAAAGAATAAAAACAATAGAAATAAAAGAAAATTTTATATCATTATTTTATTTTTTGTTTGTATTATTATTTATATAAATTGTATTTACTTATTTTATACCTACGTGACTTTACCAGAAAACACCTAAGAGTATGAATCCTTGCAGTCACGAAAGCGTCAAATCTAGAATGGATTATTTTTAAATCTGTTCTCTTAGTGTACTAAGCAACCAAAAACGATATCCTCAGGAACAGAGGATGAAGCTTTAGTCATGGAATGTCCCGTCGGGTCCTAAAGATTGTTGACCTGTGAGAACATCACGACGTCTTTTATCTTATAATCCTGTGGGAAGTCGACAACATGCACAACACAGCAACACTCACGACAAACATCGTTTAGTTCCTGTCGGCATTGGTCATGACGTATTTATATCGTGTACAAAGTCCTCTTCAAAGATCTCTGGCCAACGTGAAAGAGTCAAAATTACCCCTCCCCCCCCCCCGCCTCTCGTGGTGCCCCATCTGCCAGCGGTGGCACGAGCAGGAATTGCAGGGCTGTGCCATCTACCTTTGACACAATGTCTGCCAATAATGGGGGGATCAATAAAAACACGGTGAGTGTTGACTGAGATTACATTATTGATGTGAAACTATCTGCAATAAATGACGTGCTGCGTCCCTTAAAACATTTGTGCCTTTTTTCTCTCGCCGTGCTTAAAGAACAATTTTCCTGGAGGCTTGTTGCATTTGTTTAAATCCATGTTTTATATGACACCCGTAGTGAATCCAACTGAGTCGGAAGACGTCTTGGGAGCAACGCTATTTCACCAACACAACACGACACGAGCTACACTTGGGTGTCGAATGCCCATCTATCCCACGCTACGGCACAACTAGACACGGCTCGCTATCCCGGCCCGGACCGCGAGCTGCTGGGTCCTGGAGCGCGTGGCTAGAGGCTTCTTCTCCCCGACGTGAATCTTCTTCACCGGCCACACGAACCCACGACCGCCTCACGGAGCCCCCCCCCCCACCCCCGTTATATCGGCCTGGGCTGGGCTGACTCCGGCCCTCGCCCCGCCCACCTCTTTCCCGAAGGATCCCGAGGGCTTCTCTATACCACGTGACCGCCCAGCGGCCCCCGTCCACCGGTGGCCCCCCTCCAATATCATCCGGTGACGTGTCGGCAGGTCAATCAGCGTATCATGCCCCAACGCAACCCTGGCTGGCTGACGCTCCCTCACCGGGAGCCCGCACCGCACACTGCACGCGGTGCCTCCGCACTGACCAGCGCTCACCGAAGCCCCGCTAGGGCTTGTACTACGCCCAGTGACTGCACGTAATGCCAACACATTATCCGCCGTAGCTTCTTAAGCCCGGCAGCACACGGTGACATTCACAGTCACTACATCACCCCCCTCTCTGTAGCCTCCAGCCGTCCCGGCTGCCAACTCCCCCGCAAGTAAGCAACCGACGTACAATTATACAGAACAACAAGCAGGTGCGCTCCAACAATAACAAGACAGCACGATAAATTACCCAAACCCAACTGTACAATATATACACCGAGAGAGAGAAAAAAAAACACAGCAGCGAGAGAAATGAACAACAACAATCGCGTCGTACAAGATCCCCACAATAAACATCTCCCACCCACAACGTGTAAACGACGCCCGTGAGCTCGATGGCGGAAAGGATCAGCCAAACGCTCGCCACGACTCACGAGCGCGCGACAAGCCACGGCGGTGTGGGAGCGTGCAACGCGCGGGGATCGTGAGAGTCGAGTCTTTGAGCGAGTCCGTGACGCCGGCCCTCCAGGCGGGTTGGGCTCATCTGCCCTGGAAGCAGAGGTCGTAAACGGGTTTTGATTCCGTACCCGTACCCGGCCGGGTATGGGTTCCCGTACGCCACCCGTACCCTACCCGAAATGAGTGACAAACGGTGACTCACCGGTGACTCTCAGCCTACCCGTACCCGGCCGCACCAGGGTCGCAAACGGGTACCCGTACCCGGCTAGGTACGAGTAGCCGGGTATCGGGTAGGGGACGGGTATCGGGTACCCGGTTGCGACCTCTGGGATGAAGCCATGTTGCAGGCGCGGGTGGGTTGATTCTAGGAACTTGAATTGTGAGAAGAGACAAGACGTTGGGAAATGAGTGACAAACGGTGACTCACCAGTGACTCACGGCCTACCCGTACCTGGCCACACCAGGGTCGCAAACGGCTACCCGTACCCGGCTGGGTACGGGTAGCTGGGTATCGGGTAGGGTACGGGTATCGGGTACCCGGTTGCGACCTCTGCCTGGAAGCTGACTCCCCACGAAGAGCAGTCGACCGGGTCGTCGTGTCCTTCACGTGCAGAGCACACGAAGCCGACAGAGCGGACGCACGCCCCGGCTCGCCACGCACAGCCCACACTCGGCCCCTGCGATACGGAGATGAGACAAACTCACATGGCGGTGCTCACCAGCGCAGCCCAATGAGTGCTCACCACCGCAGCCCAATGAGTGCTCACCAGCGCAGCCCAATCAGTGCTCACCACCGCAGCCCAATGAGTGCCCACCAGCGCAGCCCAATTAGTGACCATGGGCCGCATAGATGTCCTTGGTGGGCCGCATGTGGCCCGCGGGCCGTAGTTTGAGGACCCCCGGTCTAAAGGATCATTTACGGCCCTTCACCAAGTCACCACTCGACGGAAGCCTCCCCACGCGCGCGGTGTTAGTCACGGGGGGTTGGTTGACCATACTTCACCACGTGGTTTGGTGTCTGTTGGTAAAGGAGAGGCTTGGGGCAGGACCATGTGGTTACCACTGACGAGCGATGAACAGCTGCTGCCTTAACGCCTTTGAAGGAGGAACGGACGAGACATCCACTCTGCGTCTGAACAGACAATCGAGTGGATAGCAAATCTAAAGTTGCATCTTTCATCTCCTGTAATGGATCCATACGTTAGGAGGAAGGGATGAACCTAATTTCGTCAGGTTCATCACGTAGTGTGCTAACCACCGCGCCACCGCACCACCAAAATAACATAGGCTTATTGATTTGCAGAGTTACGTACTTTATTAATCTGTATATTTTTGGAAAAAAACGACATACATAGGCAAAGGTGCAGCCCTTCAATATCTAGCTCACGCCACGGCTGGCGAAAGGGCCTCCACTAAAGAGGGTGGTTTGGCCTCCTCTTCCATGCCGAATATAGATGTGCGTGCGTGTGTGTATATATACACGTTTTAAAACACATCAAGCGGGACGTTTATTTTAAAATGTGAGTCAACCGCTCTCTCAACAGTTGAGAGAGCGGCCTCTGTTACTGTACTTGGCATTACCAAAGGCAGGTACGGCCATCCTGTACTGAGACTTTGCATTCGGTGTGTGATCAGGGTACCCTCGGCATGTACCGGCTAATCACTTTATCTTCTTCTTCTGAACGCTTTGCTCGTTAGAGGTCACGTCGCAAACCGTCGCGCGCTGAGACACGGCGATGCTCGCAAGACGCTAACGGCCACGCGGTCACTTTGCCACGCGAAAACGCTTTTGCAGGGCCCGTGCAAAAGAAGGATGGAAGGCGTTATCAAGCTGTTTAAAGAAACGACTTTGCTTAACCCCAAAGGCATCTACATCCCGAACTGCGACCGCAAGGGCTTTTACAAAAGAAAGCAGGTAACTTGACGAGGACACCCTTCCCCTGGGAGCAGGAGGGCTCACGTGGTGTCTCTTGCGTTGAACTGTTGTTTAAAAGTCGACACCAAAGAAGGCCTCGCTGAGTTTTTGATGGAGGGTTGGTCCCGTGTTGAATGTTTAGATGGCAGCAGCAGAGCAGCATCGGCAGCAGCGGCATCATCACCTTCAGCAGCATCACCTTAGCCATTGACTTATCATCACCATCATCAGCATCGCCTTAATCATTGACTTATTATCAGAAGTAGTAGCTGCATGGCCATCTTTAGCAGCAGCAACATCATCATTAGCAGCAGGTTCAGCGACACAATTAGCATCATCACCAACCCTCAGCTACTCCCAGCTATGCACATATAAATAGAATTCTACATATCAATATATTTAGCCCATCGGCTTATTGGCTTTCCAAACCAATATTATCGAGCGGCATTTGTTTAAGCGCCTGGGTCTTATTTACACGTAAACACTGATTCATCGTGCACGTGTGTATGTTGAACGTCTGTCGCAACGTACGTAGCCAACTGAGCCAATCGGGAGGTGCGGTGGAAGGACATGAAACTCAACACGTTCATATCAGCCGCCAGTGGCTGATAGCGCCTGAATGTATTGAGGAGCGTGGCGCTACTGCAAACGTTGGCGCCAGTTCCCACCTCGACATAGTTGCTCGCACCTCTGAGTCGTCTCGCTGTTCAGGAGCGAGTGGATACCGTGCGGGCTACACGAGTTGACGAACAAAGAGCTCGACATGAGTTGACCTCCTTTGCCGGTACCAAAATATAAGAATAGGGGTTTTCCCCTTTTTTCTGGCAACAAAACTGAAACCTTTTTTTTTACAAGGAATCATGTCTGCATTAACCACAATTCTTGTGGTCAGAATGCAAACAAAAAGCGTAGTCTGATAATGTATGCATTGTCCTTGAAACTGATTGGTCCACACCAGAGACAGCTTTCTTTTCAAGCCTCGTCTGAAACGGTGCTAGACCAGAGGACGCCAAAAGGCGTACAGCCCAAAGACAATGCACTATCAGAGTAATGAGAGCTCGGGGTAAGCATCTACATCATGGGATCTCCTTTGCCAGTACCAAAATATAAGAATATTATCAGTGTGTTTTTTGTTTGCATTCTGACCACAAGTATTGTGGTTAATGCAGACATGATTCCTTGTAAAAAAAAGCTTTCAGTTTTGTTGCCAGAAAAAAGATGCCCAATGACCGGACGTATTTGTCAAGAGCACGCCGCGTGCAGTGCACAACAACAACAACAAACATCCTCGATTCCAACGACCGATTCGTCTTCGTCGAGCAAAAACATTCCAATTCAATGAACAAACGAGCAATCAAAGGGGAGAATGAGTGAGCGGGCACGGTTGCTTTAATTCCTCACGATGTCACCCCCCCCCCACCGTCTGTCTGCTCGGTGCCCGCGTGCAGTGCAACCCGTCGAAGGGCCGCAAGCGAGGCCTCTGCTGGTGCGTCGACCGCTACGGTGCCCACATCCCGGGCTCGGAGCACGTGGGCGGCAGCCAGAAATGCCTGGGCGTCGTCGAGAGGGACTGAAGAGGAGAGGGAGTTGTGGGGGTCGCTAGCCCCCGAAATCCCTCCCTCGATAATGCTAACGGCCGGGCTAGCATCATCAATCGCCCCCCCGCTGCTAAGCGAACCGCTGCTAAGTTCCTCACCCATGGTGTGGGAGCCGTCGCCCGAGGGTTCCACTCCACCGCGGGTCCGCGTAGCAGGCATGGTTAATTACGTACGCGCACACCCACACACACAGCTCTGTACGGCACTCACTCTTGCGCTTCTCTGCGCCGCGCTGGCCGCTCACGTTACAATCGCGCACCTGGGGTACGCCGATTACGCACGCCGCGAGCTTACGCACACACAGTACCACACGCGTTCCCACACGCAACCCGCGCGCTCAGCTCCGCGCAGCGCTCACTCACGTGGCGAACCACTGTGCACACAGCGCACCCACACGCTCACACTGCACGACAAGATCACGCGAGACCACGCTTCGCTATTAATGATTTATTATATGCCACCTGCGAATTGATGTTGAATCAGTGAGTCGACGAGGCTGGCCTATTCCACTAAACCTGTACCTATTCCCTATTTATCGGCTATGATTCTAATTCCCCTTCTTACTCACTGTTAAGTGTCCACGGCGGTCCGCTGATCCTTGTGTTAACCGCGTGCCTCGGTGCGTCGCACGGACGTCCGGGTCGCTGGCTCGAGCTGCGTCTGGTCGCCTGGCGCTGGAGTAAGAGAGCGATTTCCCCTCTGCGCTCCTCTATTTATCCTCCCTACCTCCAAAGGGGATGCTGCGCTGAACCATGGGCTCGTGCACCCCAAGCCCGCGCACGGCAGTCCCCAGGCGCTGTTGATATGCTAATCAGTGTGCTGCGTGCAAGGCGTAAATCCTAATTACTCCCTTAACCTTCCTAACAATGGGGCTTGCGCGCTCAAGCGCAATTATCCCAACCCTCCATGACGATGCGCAACAGCCCCTGTGACCCCGCTATTCATGCTGTCCCGTGCCTCCCCTGCTTGCCCCGTCGACTCGTGGGGGTGTGTGTGGGGGGAAATGCGCCTCAACCGCGGTGGCCGAATGCCCCACGCCGCGACCACACCATATTAAGGCCGGCAGCAGCGCCGCGGTACCACGTAGCACGGGGGAGGTCATCCAATTCCCTGATCGCCGGAAACCGTGAGAATTAATCCCGATAAGGGTCTCTCGGATAAAAACCGGTCGATCAGGTAACCTTCCCTTCCAGCTCTATGGGGGGGGGGGGGGGGGGGATGCGTGCGGGTGTGTGCTTATGTGGGGCGGGTGATTGGGGGCAGTGCGGTGGGGGAAGCCGGGCGGCTCCCTGGCTCGGCAGAGCGGCCCCGTCGCTGTGGCACCACATAGCCCCCCGGGGTGCCAGTCCCCGTCCCGGGTTGACTTGAGCACCTCGCTTGGGTTGCCCCCACGAGGTATCGCCGCGGGGTCCGCGGGATTCGCCCGGCCCTTGTGGTTGGCCTCGGGGGTGGCGGCTCCGTCTCCTGGGGCTCCGGCGGTGGTCTCCTCCTCCATTCCAACGGCTCCCCTCGGCCCCTGGCACCTGCGGGCTGGGGAACAAACTCAGAGGCGGTGGGGTTTAAGGGTCGCCGTCCTCGTCGCCCCCGGCCCCGCCCGGGGCCCCTCGGAGCCCGGGGCTCCGTGGGGCCCATGTACTGCGCGAGGCCCCCGGGCACGGGGGGTGGGGGGACCCCGGGGTTTCGGGGTACTTGGACGGCGGGGCTCCCCCCCTCGGGGGCTGCTCGCCACGGCTTCAGTCGGCGGATGTTGACCACCATCTCCCGGCCCCTCTCTCCTCCCTGAATCAGCACCGTCCATGGTGAGATCTGCCGTCTCACAATCCAGGGTCCTCGCCAGTAGGTGGTCAGCTTCCCCACCTGTCCGGCACCGACGCGGGGAGTGTACAGCCACACCTCGGAGCCCGCAGTGTAGAAGGGGGGCTCCATACGGGGTCGGGCGCCCTGCTCTTGCCGCTGGTGCGCGGCCTCTCCGTGCGGGCAGGCTCGGCCCCTGGCCCCTCGCAGGGTCTCCAGCAAGTACTCCACGGGGTGGCTCCCTTCCTCCCGTTGCGGCGGAGGAACACCGAACAGCAGATCTGCGGGCAGGCGAGACTCGCGACCAAACATCATTAGGAACGGGGTCTGTCCTGTAGAGGTGTGAACGGCGGTGGTGTAGGCGAACAGGGCATAGGGAAGGTGTTCGTCCCAGTCCTGTTGATTCGCGGCCGCCATGCGTTTAAGCTTCCCGGCCAGAGTCTGGTTCATCCTCTCTACCATCCCGTTCGCCTGGGGGTGATACGCCGTGGTTCGGTCCTTCTGGATCCCGAACTCTCGGCACAGCGCCTGAAATAGTTCGGCCTCGAATTCACTACCCTGGTCGGTAATGACTCGTTCGGGGATCCCGCACTTAAGTACGTAGTTTTCCACGAAGGCCCGGGCCACTACAAGGGCTGTTTTATCCGGGATAGCCACCGCCACGGGGTAGCGGGTGAAGTATTCCACCGCTACGAGAATATACCGGTTGCCCCGGTGGGATCGTGGAAAGGGCCCCTGCAGGTCGATTCCGACCAACTGATTCGTCCGACTGACTCGGAACGGCCTCAGGGGTACCTGGTACCTCGCCGGCTTTTGCCCACACTGCTGACAGGCCCGGCAGCCCTGCACCCAGGCGGCCACATCTTGTGCCAATTTGGGCCAGAGATACTGGCGACGCAGGGTCTCTCGAGTGCGTCGTTCCCCATCGTGGCCCCCGAGTGGGTGGTCATGCACCAGCCGTAACAGCTGGGGTCGCACCTGGGCAGGAACACAGATGCACCCCGGCTGGCCGGCCTCGGTTAACTCCCGTACCACTCCGTTCCGCACACACAACCGGGCATACAAACCGCTCCAGGGTCCTGGTAGGGCGCTCTTTTCCTCCCGCAGTGTCGCCTCCACTGCCGCCAGATCCGGATCTCGCTGCTGGGTCTGTCTCAGCTGCTCGTCGTTTAGGCCCGGGAAGGCGCAGCCGACGTCCTCCTGGATCCGTCCAATCGGGTCCCGAGCCGCGGGTCCCGCGCTTGCCGGGCGGTCGACGGGATCCTCAGTGCCACCTGTGAGGGTTTCCGTGGCGCACACTGCACTCTCTCTCGCTGGGGGGGGGTCAGTGGCCGCGGCCTCTCGGGGGTCCGTTGCCTGCCGGCAGCGTCCCCCCGTGAAACACGGGCAGGCCTCCTCCGCCCTCGTCTCGGCGTACACCGTGGGTCGCCTCGACAAGGCGTCCGCGTTTGCATGCGTCCGGCCAGCCCGATACTCGATTTGCAGGTTGTACTCCTGCAACTGCGCCAACCACCGGGCCATCTGCCCCCGCGGCTCCTTGAATGTAAGCAGAAACTGCAGAGCATAATGGTCAGTGCGTACGCGACATCTCCTGCCGTACAAATACGGCCGGAACTGTTTGCATGCGAAAATCACGGCGTACAACTCTTGGCGGGTCACGCAATAGTTCAGTTCGGCCCCACTCAAGGTCCGGCTGGCGTACGCGATGACTCGTTCCGTCCCATCCTGTACCTGTGACAACACCGCGCCCAGCCCGCTGCTGCAGGCGTCGGTGTCCAAAATAAAATCGGTGGTAAAATCGGGGAAAGCGAGGGTGGGGGCGTGGGTGAGGTGGTCTTTGAGAGTGGTGAAGGCCGTCTGGCAGGCCCCCGTCCACTGATAGGGGTGCTTAGGGGAGGTGAGTTGGGTGAGGGGGCGTGCAATCTCGCTGAATCCCTTTACAAATCGACGATAATAGGTGGCGAGCCCCAAAAATGATCTGATCTCCGTCAGATTCCTTGGCCGTGGCCACTCCACTACGGCGCGTACCTTCTCCGGATCGGTGCGCACGCCTGCCTCGCTGACGCGATGCCCGAGGTACCCCACCTCGCGTTGTGCGATGTAACACTTACGTGGCTTGAGCTTGGGATGAGCCGCTCGCAGTCGCTGGAACACCTCTCGAAGCCTGGACCAATGCTCAGACAAAGATCTACTGAACACTATCACATCGTCCAAGTAAATCAGGCACTGTTCCCATTGCAAACCCCGCATCACCAACTCCATCAACCGCTGGAACGTCGCGGGCGCGTTAGTGAGTCCGAACGGCAACACTCGAAACTCAAACAGGCCCATCGGGGTGGTGAATGCTGTTTTTGGCCGATCCTCCTCCGTCATCTCCACCTGCCAGTAACCGGACGCCAGATCGAGGGTGGAAAAATACCGCGCTCCTGCGAGACTGTCGAAGGTGTCGTCGATGTGGGGTATGGGGAAGGCATCGCCGAGCGTGACTGCATTTAGTTTACGGTAATCGACGCAGAACCGGGTTGACCCATCCTTTTTCGTTACTAGTACCACTGGGGCTGACCAGGGGCTCGCCGAGGGCTGAATTATGTTATCGCGAAGCATGTCCCCAACCGCCTCCTTGATCTGGGTGCGTTCGGGTGCGCCCACTCGGTACGCAGGGAGTTTGATGGGTCGGGCTGCACCGGTGTCAATTTGGTGCTTAACAAGGTCGGTCCGACCCACGTCCGAGTCGTGTTCGCTGAACACGTCGGCATACTCCCGCAGTAACTCGCGCAGCCGATCGGCCTCTCCCTTAGGTAAGTCCGCCCATGGTACATGTAACGCGTCGAGCAGGGGAACGACCTCGGCTCGGGGAGTCGGGCCGACTCGCCAGGCCAGGTCCTGCTCACCCTCAGGACGACCGGGGTCCTCAGCCCAGAGTGCGAACACCGAGTCGTTAGAGTGGCGTGCGTGCAGGGGGTGTACTGTGGCTATCGGGGTGCGCCGTCGCAGTATCGCGGGGGTATTGTGGGGGTTAAACATCCGCATAAACAATCGGTCCCCATCTGCGTTTACCAACGTGGCGGATCCCACAACCCCATACCGTTTTGCCAACTCCGGGTGAGGAGTTAGCATTACCTCCCCTGATGGTCGGAGCGCGGGGTCGGTGGGGGATGTTGCCACCGGCACCAGCATCTCGG